GTCTCATTAGCCTTCCTACAACCAATAGGACAGCTGTACCAGTGCCTTGATATCCATGGGTATGATGTTTTCATTAAAGACTCATTCCTATCACATCTGTTCGCCTATACTCACAACCTTTCGTCGTTTGAAGAGTTTTTGTAGTTCCGTAATACTGGATGGTTGCATAACAAAACTGTTTTAATTAGCCTCATGCATACGAGGGCTGAATGAAAAGTTCTGAGCCTACCGTCTTGACGTTCTGTTAACTACATCGTGCATCGTGGACAGTTAGTATGTACAATACTTTCCCTACTTAACGGCTGCATTTGAACCAGAAACACAACCAGTCAGTATATTTCTGCAGTCATGAAAGTGACAAAGTATTTGTTTTGACCTAAATGACAAAACTGTCCGTCATAACGTATCTACAATAGGAAGGGGTAACCCCAGCAGCCAACGGGTCTCTACTGAAGGCGGCCAGCGGTTTTGAACGTTGAAAATTATTTTGTGATATAATCTCAACAAAGCATTCTGCTACCTCCTTTCTGAGGCAACATGTGTGCCAAAATACCCACACACAAGAATTCAACACAAAAGATAAAACAAACATCACACAACCACAACGATTTTACATACCCAACATACATAACCCGCATGCTCGTGTGATGAAGGGCGGAGATGCTCGAGAGCCTGTTTGTTTCATTTCACAACAAGTCTTGACACAATGTGTAAATAATAATGTTAATACTATTTTTTCTCATTTGCACATACAGTAGTATCATACTTATTTCCGATGTAAGTAAAGAGGCGTAGTATAAGATCATCTTAGAAAGGTTCCCGACTTGATCCCTCGGGTTACTTAATAGGATGTATTCTCCTGAAAAGAAAAGTCAGAAAATACCAATATTTCAAAAGAGCTCGACATTGCTCGTTAAAGAGAAGAGAGTACACTTTCGTACACATTCTTGAGGAGGTGTTGACTCATTGGTACTTTTACATGATACAAGTTTACATGTAGCATTGCACCAGAGTACATGATCTTAAAATACCATCTGCATACTTTCAAATGAGTATTAATTACATTGCCACTGAGAGATTGTACAGAGAATGTTAATTCTATGGAATGAATATTAAACTACAAATTCCAGTATATTTGATCATTTGAAGTGATTTAGTAACGTTTTAATGTACGAAAAAGGCCAAGTGAAATTAAAGAGTGAGTGAATGAGTGAGTGAGTTTGGCTTTACGCCGCTTTTAGCAATATTCCAGCAATATCACGGCGAAGGACACCAGAAATGGGTTTCACACATTGTACCCATGTAGGGATTCGAACCCGGGTCTTCGGCGTGACGAGCGGAGGCTTTAACCATTAGGCTACCCCACCGCCCCTGAAATTAAAGATTATTCAACCACAGAACATGATTATCTGCCCAAGATGAAGCTTACAGAGAATGATGGGTTGATGATAATTTTTAACGTTAATTAAGTATGTTTTCCCAAGTTGAAGGCTATGATAGAATCGGAGGCAAAATTACGGTGGCAATGGTTTCAGGACTTGTTAATTCCCTTTTACTGTCGTTTAATATGACCCTTTGTTCACACCAATCACAATTTACCGTAACATATATGCCAATATAAATCAGGTTTTATTTCTGAGAGCAGAACAAGTGAGTGAGTGAATGTGGTTTTACGCAGCAATATTCCAGCAATGTAACAGACATAGCAATTGTTTTCACACATTGATAACATAAGGGGACTCGAACCTGGGCCTTCAGTGTGACCAGCGTACGCTTTAACCGCAATGCTACCTCGTCGCCTCGCCGAGTTGGACATAAACCATTAACCCATAGCTATACGTGCTTTATATACTAAGTGAGTGAGTGAGTTTAGTTTTACGCCGCACTCAGCAATATTCCAACTATATGGCGGCGGTCTGTAAAGAATCGAGTCTGGACCAGACAATCCAGTGATCAACAGCATGAGCATCGATCTGCGCAATGGGGGAACCGATGACATGTGTCAACCAAGTCAGCGAGCCTGACCACCCGATCCCGTTAGTCGCCTCTTACAACAAGCATAGGTTACTGAAGATCAATATTCTAACCCGGATCTTCACGGGTTTTATATGCTAAGTATTCTCTCTGAAAGTTTCCAGATGTCCATAGAAATATAAAGGCTTAAACTTACAGCTCAGCGTAACAAGGGTTCAGTCGGACACACAGATATTGAGACTGCAGTCAAGAAATAGTTCCCTGTCCAAAACTTGACTTTAACACCGAAGTTTAAACGCAGCAGAGTTTTCTAACTGTAAAGGTATTTTCGTTTATTTAAAAGGGACAAATATAAACGTTTTTAATAAGTGTATGTTTAATAAGCATAATGCTTTCCTTTAAAGCATGGGCCAGAATTAAATGATTACGTACCTAGTTGTGTATTGCCGACTGTGAAGCTATATTTCTGATGCACAAATAGATCACTCAAGTGTAGGGGAACGAGAACCATTACACTGTTAGGAGTTACGTCCCTTTGCTGGGATAAAATAACATGAGAGCCGTGCCAGTGGAAGCGTGTCCTAAAATTTCTGGTCTGAAGGTGGCCAACATGTCTCGTCATGTGACATTTGGGGAACCAGTCTAGCGCCTCCTGTCTGAGGTTTTACGTGTCATGGGCAAAAACAAACCCGTTAAACAGCGCCATATGGTGGCAGGGATGGAAAGGTCCTGTAGTGTATCCATGTTTTACTGTATGTACCTGTCTATGTTACCTGAGTCCCTGTCATTAAGTTGAAGCGTTAAAGTAACAACAACGATGATGCTGATGCTGATGATGATGATGCTGCTGCTAATGATGATGATGATGATGACGATGATGGTGACAACGACGACAAACGACAACGACGATTGTGACGATGATGATAGTGTAAAAGTTTGAGATACAATCTTGAGCTGCCCTGCAGTAACCTGACACGAGATATACGTCCGCGAGTTATCATCATATCAGTATGAATGAACGTGACCCGTGCCTGTCACTTGGAGCAGTCATGTGACCAATGAAGTAGGCTACTTTGACGTAATCACCTCACTTACCCTGGTGACACACGTATTAATAGCATGGACGTTTTGTCTTTAATGTACGTGCAACCTGAATGGGTTTGATAAGATACGATTGTTTTCTTTGTTGTCAAACGCAGCAATTGTCAAACGATGTGATGTCGGTATGTAAATAACGTCTATGTATAGTCTGTTTGCAGTGAAAACGTACCAATGAATTTCACTTTAAACAAAAAAGTAAATCAAATCAAGTGAAATTAAGATTGCGAATCCTCATAACTTTACCTTGCCAAATGAACATTTAAATCTCAGAATTTTATTCAACTTGGGGGAAAAGCTGTTTAACAAACGATCAATGATTCAAATCGCTATTATTGGTTTGTATGAAACACCCAGAATAAGTAGGGTTGGCCTAAGTTAACGCTCATACCGCACGTGCATTTGTTTCACTGTTCCATCCATTGCGCTTACCCCCTTGTAATACAAACCAATAATAGCGATTTGAATCTATATATATGATCGTTTGTTAAACAACTTTTATCCTAAGTTGAATAATATTCTGAGATTTAAATGTTCATTTGGCAAGGTAAAATTGTGAGGATTCGCAATCTTAATTTCACTTGATTTGATTTACTTTTTAGTTTAGAGTGAAATTCATCGGTACGTTTTCACTGCAAACAGACTATAGTCAGGACTAGACGATGCAGTGATTGACATCATGAGCATCTTCAAGTCGGCGAGACTGACCACCTGTCCCGTGAGTCGCTTACTACGTTTTGTTTGCTTAACGTGACACACAGCAATATTCCAGCTGTATATAGATATTCGCGTCTGGAGAAGATGATCGATATCATGAGCATCGATCAACGCAAATAGGACACGATGACATGTGTCATCAAGGTTAGCGAACCTGACCACCCGATCCCGTTAGTCGCCCCTTGCGACAAGCATGGGTTGCTGAAGACCAATTCCAACCCGGATCTTCACGGGTCGCTTTTACGACAATCATGGGTTACGGATGACATATTCTACAAAGAAGGGGCGTTGTCTTTTAATGATCTGTATGATGTAATTATAACTTGATAAACTTGAAATGGTATTCACAAATAGATTTAAAATCCATCTGTCAAGTTCAAGGCTTGACTAACATATTTATAATCTGAGATCGTATATCGTAGTCCCCTTTACAAGCGACCAACTGGGACGTTGTTGGGATCAAACGTGTTTCATCATTTCCATTGACGGTGTTGGTTGGTAAGTTGGTGACGTGACGTAGAATATGTCCGTAACCCATGATTGTCACAGCGACCCCCGTGTTGGAATTGGTCTTCAGCATTATTTCAGCCATCTGACGGTGATCTGTAAATAATCGGATCCAACCTGGACCATCCAGTGATTGACATCATGAGCATCGATCTACTTAATTGGTATATGGTGACATGCATCAGCCAGTTACCCTCGTTACTGGCCCCTTACGACAAGGACGGGTCTCTGTAGATCAATTCCAGCCCGGATCTTCATGGTGGTGACATTGTGTGTCCTGAACAGGTCAGCAAAAGCATAAATAATATAACATGCAAGAACAGAATTTTTTTATATTCTGAAGAAAGCTTTTTAAAAGATTTCCTAGGAGGTAGCGTGGAATTTTCGGGATTTACAGAAACATGGGTATATAATTGAACAATATACAGATGCTTCCACAGTACGTGTCCGGAAGGTGAGGTGTCCAGATAAACAGGGTCTCAGTGTTTCTACATGCCGTGCTAAATAAAGGTTACGTTATGAGCATTCATGTTAAGCCCCAGGTGCTGGTGGCAGTATTTGATGCCAACGCCTTCCGTGGGCAAGAATATTTCGCTTGCCTACATTTAAATGCAGAGTTATAAATCTATCAAACAAAATACCATATGGCAATGTTGTGCAATATCACGCTATGTGGGGTTACCTCCCTTTGCCCCTCAGTTGATCACGATATAAACACGCGTCAACCCACTGTCGTCGTCATTACTCGCCCGACAACAAAGATGACAGCTGTACCAGAGGAGAGTAAACTATCCTACAACTTCTTGGGGAAGTCTGGACTGAAGGTGGCCAACATATGTCTCGGCACGATGACGTTTGGGGATTCGGGGGTGAGTGGTGAATGTTGACAAATATGACTGAGAGAAAGACCTCTTTTCTGAGGGTCTACAAACATACGTTCTGTCATGTGATGTACAGCGTGTAGTTACATCACTGGGCAGTTTAGACTCTTTCAATATAACTAGTTTAATTATTTATTTATTCATACATTCATTCCCATACAGCACGATGATTATTTGCTCCCAAAGCAATTCCATTTATCATCCTCAACACCCTCGGGAGTATACACCTCGCGTATCGGGTACCCATGAACGACGTCACTTGCCCAAGGTGACAACGTTTATTGTTACTGTTATTATGTTTTTCTTTTTTTTCTTTTTTCTTTGGTCATTTTTTACTTATTTCTTGAAACTTCGAATTTTCAAAAGTAACGATAAAAAAAACCGAGATTTCGAAACAAAATAGACAAATAATTGAAATAACAACTTTCGATTGAGATCTTTTTACTTATGTTACCAATGTGGCACCATAAGGATTTCGTATGAACGTATTTATCTGCACCTTCTCCACTTAAATGAGGTCTATTTTACTATCAAGACCCCATTCGCGGCAGGATATTTAGGACAGGTTTGAACGATGTCACTTACCCAAGGTGACACCACAGGCTTTGACACTTGTGTTTAACATAAATTTATATTTTGTAATTTCAATTTCTCGTTATTTCAACATAACGTAATGTCAGTTGTTCCCTCATTATTCTAACTTGATTTTTAAAAAATACGCGAAATTTCGAATTTATTTTAGTTTCTTTTACTTCGAGTATCTTCTCGTTCCTATAGGTCTTTTGCAAAAACATACGAATAGTTTCTCTTTTATCGATTATTTTCTCGTCATTTCAAAAGATTGAAATTACGATACTTTTTCTCCATCGAGCAGCGTATTTTCGAGTATTTCAAAAACGAATTTTCAATTTTGTTACTTCGATTATGCTTGAGTTATTTCAAGCATATTTTATTTTCACGAATTTTTGAATTTTTGTGCTTACTTCGAATATTTTCTCTTGAAGGTTCGAGTTAAATTGAACTAACAAGAACATAATTCATATAATGAGAAATGAATCTCGATTAAAAATACACCCAAATCCCAAAATAAAATAAACATACTGAAATAACAACTTTCGATGTAAAACGAATGCGAATGTTAAGAATGTGGCACTTTAAAGATTTCGTTTGAACGTATTCGCTTTTTAGTCTTAATACGAATCCAAGAAATGAGCGTGTTTGGTTGGAAATATTATCCACCAACTGTTATATAAATATAGTGGTCTGTTGCCGTGTTACAGGCCAAGCGACCCGGTCAGGCCACGGAGGAGTACTCCCACCAGGTGCTTGACCGCTACGTCCAGTGGGGAGGCAACTTCCTCGACACCGCTGACGTCTACACACAGGGCCTGTCTGAGAAGTTCATTGGATCCTGGCTCACAAAGTATGTATAAATGTACCAATATGAATAGCGATTCTGTTGAATAGGTAGGGATACGTCATCTGAGGCACTGTAAATGTGTTAAAGGTAGTTGTGGGGAGGTGAGTGAGTGAGTGAGTTTCAGATATCAGCTGGAGTCATCTTGATGCTGGAGAAAGCCCAACATGATCGCACTAGCCTATGAGGCGATCGCAATGGTGGCAAACCAATAGCTATAGCTGTACATGTATACCGTCAATGCAAACGAATACTCAGTTTTGACTACCCTCAGATTCCATTTTGAGTAAAGGCCAAAATAGCTGTGAAACCCATAGGAATGGACCCTACCGCAATGAGCAGTATTCCAGCTATATGGGGGCTAAATAATCGAGCCTGGAACAGATAATCCAGTGATCACCATCATGAGCATCGATCAACGCAATTTGGGTACGATGACATGTGTCAACGAAGTGAGCGAGCCGGACCACCTGATCCCGTTAGTCGCCTCTTACGACATACTTGGGTTACTGAAGATTAATTCTAACCCGGTTCTTGACCACTAAGTTCTGACATAGGATTGCTTACATGTATAAATACAAATATGTTTATTGCAGACAGTCACGGGAGCAGTTCGTTGTAGCCACCAAGGTCAGATTTAACTCATCGATTGGTGTTGGACTCAGTCGCCGCCATATTGTCAACAGCATCCAGAGAAGTCTTGAGAGGCTTCAGACTGACTACGTGGATCTGTACCAGGTGAGTACTGACGGTGGTGTGTGGATCTGTACCAGGTGAGTACTGACTGTAGTGTGTGGATCTGTACCAGGTGAGTACTGACTGTAGTGTGTGGATCTGTACCAGGTGAGTACTGACTGTAGTGTGTGGATCTGTACCAGGTGACTACTGACTGTAGTGTGTGAATCTGCAACATTATTTTACACCAAGGATGAGTACACGGCTGGCAATGAGGTGTATGAACACTTGTGTTCTCTGCCTCTGTTTGAATCTTTATGTCTTGCTTATTACGGTAATGTTGCACATGCAATCTCTTACATGTTCTTCGGCAAGAAGAATTGCTCAATGTGCCGCCTGAAATTTGGTTCTAGATGCACCTCTGGGATGATGGCACTCCTATTGAAGAAACACTCCGCACATTTGATGACCTGGTTCGATGTGGGAAGGTGCGCTACGTCGGTGCCAGCAACGTGGTGGGTTGGCAGCTACAGAAGATAGTCTGTACATCGGAGAAGCTTGGCCTGAACCCTTTTGTCAGCTTACAGGTAGGATATTATATCATTACCCCCTTCATCAGATTACAGGTAGGACATTATTACATGAACACTTTCGTTAGCATGTAGGTCGGACATTATAACAAGAATCCTTCAGTCAAAATGCAGGTAGGATATTATAACAGGAACTGAATAAATGGTTTAGCATCATATCTACAGTGTTTAGAGTTGCTGTTCCTGTCTTTGTTGTTTATTAGCAATTTATATAAGTAATACGAAATTGTAAAGCAAATGGTTTGTTATGTTATTTTTTTTGCCAGTAACTAATAGGATATTGCAATGTGTTTTGTGTCCAGCAACAGTACAGCCTGGTGTGTAGGGAGACGGAGTTCGAACCCCTACAGGTGTGCAAGACGGAGGGATTAGGGGTGCTGCCTTGGAGCCCTCTCAAGGGGTGAGTTAGATCAAGGGCCTGTTTGTGAGAGTTATGATAGCGCTACGATGACCGTAAGTCTCTATCAGAGTATGTAACGATCGCCTTAAGATCGAATTGCCGAAACAGGGCCAGGTTCCTTTAGCGTAGCTCGATGATCACGGATACAGATGATCCCGCTAAAGGATGAGGGCAGGACGTTTTACCTTGATCGGTTAGCGTAATGAGCCTGCTCTCTGAAGCTTTGAAGGAAATCAGTCATGGTGTCAACTTTGATGGTAAACATGGTGTCCTTATACATACTCTTTACAAATTATTCGAAAACCGCCGATGGTTACTGAAAGACGAATGATGGCAATGATTAGATAATAAAATAGAGGAGTACATCAACGTGACAAGACCCGTGAAGATCCGGGTTAGAATTGGTCTTCATGAACCCATGCTTGTCGTAAAAGGCAACTAACGGGATTGGGTGGTCAGGCTTGCTGACTTGGTTGACACATGTCATCGTATCCCAATCGCGTAGAACGATGCTCATGATTTTGATCACTGGATTGTCTAGTCCATTCACAGACCGCCGTCATATAGCTAAAATATTGTTGAGTGCGGCGTTAAACAACAACCAAACGAACCCAATTCAACGTGACAACCAACAGAACGTTTCGACAAGTGTATCCACGAGCGCGGAGGAACTGCATAATCCACGGAATGATGCAGGGGCGAAACATTGTTTTGTGACCTCTGGGTTTAGTTATCTTTATTAAGTGTGGATACAATACATGTTAGCTGTCTCTTCAACAGAGGTCTTCTTTCTGGGAAATACACACGGGAGTCTCCCCCGACGACAGGACGTCATGGCTGGAGGAGACAAAACGACGCCGGCAGCTGGAACACTGTCCAGGAGGACAATCAGATCTGGGCCATCATGGACGCAGTGCGGGACATCGCCAATACGCGCGGTAGGAACATGGTCAGGCATAGAGGCCACGTGGGGCGGAGAGGGGTCTGGTTTAATTATTAGTCATGATGGGCAGGTGTACAAAGGATGGAGTGAGAGAGTGAGTTTAAATTTTCGCCGTTTTAGCAATATGCCAGCAATATCACAGCGGGGGACACCAGAAATGGACTCCACACATTGTACCCATGTGGGGAATCAAACCCGGGTCTTCGGCGTGGCGATCGAACGCTTTAACCACTAGGCTACCCCACCGCCCCACAAAGGATGGAGAGAGTAGTGAAATGATAGGCACAACAGGTGAAGAATAGAGAGGGATAATGACATTAACATTGTGGGCATAGCAGATGAAGGCAGGATAGCTATAACATCTCATACGGCGCAAGTATCAATGACGTTGATTCAGAAAATAGGCATGGTCGTAATGACGTTGATTCAGATATTGGCATGGTCGTGATATACAAGAAGGTAGACATGGTTTGCACTGTGGTGATACACGCCCACAAACTTGTCAAACACAGATCTACACATGGTGAGGTTCATCAGTTCTGATATCATGATATGTGTGGTGATATACGCCCACAAACTTGTCAGACACAGGTCTACACTTGGTGAAGTCCATCAGTTCTGATATCATGATATGTGTGGTGATATACGCCCACAAACTTGTCAGACACAGACACGTCGTTAAGTTCACCAGTTCTGATATCATGATATATGTCTCCTCCCTCAGGTAAATCCATGGCCGAGGTGTCGCTGCGCTGGCTCCTGCAGAAGGATGTTGTTCCATCAGTAATCATCGGAGCCACATCTCTGGAACAGCTGGATGACAACCTTGGTGCAAGTAGTGGTTGGACCCTATCTTCAGAGGAGGTGAGTCTGTGATAGGTGAATGACAATCTAAGGTGTGCTTATGGCTTGATGAAAACCAGTCTCTCATTATCAAACATTGTATCAGCATCACACGCGCGCTCTGGCATGAAAAGAGTGAGTGAGTTTAGTTTTATGCCGCTTTTATCAACATTCCAGCAACATCAAAGCTGGGGTCATCAGAAATGGGCGGCATGATGATAAGGGTAAAAGGCTGATGAAGTGACAATAAGAAATCTCAGCAACAAAAAAGCACATTTGACAATTCAGAAATTTTAAAGGGCGGGTTTTTAAGACTGCTGGTCCCAAACAATATAATCTCCACCATATTTCTGAAAGTGTTTACATAAGTGTTTACGGCTCATTATTTAACCGACGGGCCATGTTTCCTACAGTTATGTTGGCGTCGTATGTAAGGAATTTCAAATAACAGATATGCATGTCGATGAATCACAAGATCCCAATATATTTCAGATGACACGACTGGACGAAGTGTCTCAACCCAGAGTACCGTATCCATATGAAATGATTTGGAGAAGCAACAAGTCTCGGCGCAATCCCTTCCAGTCATCGTACTTCGTCTCCAACACAGACTGATCACAACATGAAGTGTCTTGCATAGAGATACCACATACCCGTAGTGCACATTGTCTAGTGTCATTTTAAGGGACATTAAACTCACGAATTCCTTGAAATAAATAGTTAGTATTGACATGGCGCATTTGTTCTGCTGATTATTTATACACATGGGCTGGTAGTTTTATAGGTATTCTGCAAGATATATCAACATGTTGTTAACATCTGTCACCACATGCTACACATGGCAAGACAGGTGTTTTGTAAAATGTAGATTATAAACCTGAACTTTAACTTCGGCAAATTCAAGAAATATTTGAATCCACATCGAGAAATCTAGCAATTTACAATTATTAGACATCAGAAATATTCTTCACACATTGTACCCATATGGGGAATCGAACCAGGGTCTCCGGCGTTATGAGCGAGAACTTGAACCACTAAGTTACCCATACTTTCCCAGTGATTATCCAAACGTCCTGAATGTTTGAATTTATACACAACCTTTTATAATATTTAGTTTGGATGATGTTTCCAAAATACATGTATGCAATCAACTTTTTCGGTGCTGTATTTCTAGGCAACAAACATTTACAGAAGACAATGACGGAGCGTTGTTTATGCGACTGGTACCTGGATCCGAGTCGTCTGCTTGTTCTAATTCTTCTCATGACACATATTTTGAAACTAGAATGACTATGTACTCAAAGTTGTTATACACACTAACACTCTATTCGCACCTGTGTTTGTTTGTTGTTTAACGCCGCACTCAGCAATATTCCAGCTATGTGGCGGCGGTCTGTAAGAAATCGAGTCTGGACCAGACAATCCTGGGATCACCATCATGAGCATCGACCTACGCAATTGAGATACGATGACATGCGTCAACCAAGTAAGCGAGCCTGACCACCCGATCCCGTTGGTCGCCTCTTAACAAAATGTCGGGCGGTGGGGTAGCCAAGTGGTTAAAGCGTTCGCTCGTCACGCCGAAGACCCGGGTTCGAGTCCCCACATGGGTACAAAGTGTGAAGCCCATTTCTGGTGTCCCCGCCGTGATGTTGCTGGAATATTGCTAAAGCGGCTTACTCACTCACTCACTTAACAAAATGTCAAATGTATTGTATGACGTTAAACACATCCCTAATGACGGAATAATCACGTGATGTAATGATGTCACAGACCATCGAGATCAAATGATATGATCACCATGGGTACAATCCCAATAACTCAACACCCCGGTTTTGGACGCCACTTTGTAACGTCATCATTCAGAGTTTTCAAAACTCAAAAACGCGCTGACAGTACACTTCGCCGATCCCGTTAGGCCGCAAAGGTTGCTGAAAACTTACTATGACCAGGATCTTCAAAGGCATGACATTGGCGGTCTGTAATATCCAAAACATTTCAGAAAAAGCAAACATAAACATACAAGTTAAAAAATGCCTTTCACAGAAGTGATTAAACATAATTGAATCACATGAAAATGCTTCCATTGTGCGTGTCTGGATGTTGAGGTGTCCAGACTAACAGGGTTCCATTGTTTCCAGAAGCACAGTAAGGTGTCATTAGAAGCACCGACGTTCAGCCCCGGGTCCTATTGGCACCCATCGCCTTTTACGGGAGAAAATAGGCCGCTGTCCTTCAGTGTTCAGTGTTGCCAAAATGCGCCCTTGTAGATTTATAAAAAGCATGGTAACATTATGTCATGCTAGGTAGGGTTACCTCCCTTTACCTCTCAGGTGATAACGATTTAAACGCCTGTCAACCTGCTGGTGTCGTCACTACTCGCCCAACAACAAGATGACAGCTGTACCGGAGGGGAGTAAACTGTCCTACAACTTCTTGGGGAGGTCTGGACTGAGGGTGGCCAACATTGGCCTTGGCACGTTGACGTTTGGGGAATCAGCGGTAAGTGGGGAGGGATAGTTGAGAGTTTGACCTCTATGCTGTTTCTTACCTGCGTTGTGTAACGTGTTTAACTGCTGGGGTCAGTCTCGCCTCTTCTGATCTCTGTGCAAAGGGTATACCTATTTTTACACACATATACGTATTGTAATAGCAATAATGTTATAAGTGTTATTAGGTAAACATGCATCCCTAAACCATTAAAATTTAGATCAGATTCCGTATTACTTTTGCTCATGAGTGATAACGGTTAGCTCACGGTATGGAGACAGAAAGTCGCGAGTTACCAGGAAAGTAATAGATAGAATGGCGTTTGGAAGTGAGACATAACGAGTTCGTCGTGAAAGTTAGAATAGAATAAGCTTCCAATAAAACAATTAACAAATCACCTTAAAGGGTCGTGCCACCTAACGGTGCTGCCCGATATTCTTCCAATCACGACACACGAGTGCAAGGTGTGATACCGGATTAACGAACCAAACGATGAGTTAAAACATGTGACACTAGGTTCGAACTTACAAAAAGAACATGTTTGACACTAAGAGAGCAGTGTTCGGGTAGTGCGAACTCTACAATCCGGAAGCTAATCCACGCCACTCAGTTCCCTTTGTTGTACATGGATGCCTAGTCTTGAATTGAAGTTGTACAGAGCGATGGGCTGAGACAGAGTATAACTAACACGTTGATGTAAGTATCATGTACTCAGATGTAAGTGTCACCCACGTAGACGTGTCATGTACGTAGATGTAAGTATCATGTACTCAGATGTGTCACCTACGTAGACGTGTCATGTACGTAGATGTAAGTATCATGTACGCAGATGTAAGTGTCACCTACGTAGACGTGTCATGTACGCAGATGTAAGTGTCACTTACGTAGACGTGTCATGTACGCAGATGTAAGTGTCACCTACGTAGACGTGTCATGTACGCAGATGTAAGTGTCATGTACTCAGATGTAAGTGTCACCTACGTAGACGTGTCATGTACGTAGATGTAAGTATCATGTACTCAGATGTAAGTGTCACCTACGTAGACGTGTCATGTATGTATGTAGATGTAAGTGTCACCTATCATAGACTCAGCAGATGTCACCTACGTAGACGTGTCATGTACGCAGATGTAAGTGTCACCTACGTAGACGTGTGTCACGCAGATAGACGTGTCATGTACGCAGATGTAAGTGTCATGTACGTCAGACGCAGATGTGTCATGTACTCAGATGTAAGTGTCACCTACGTAGACGTGTCGTGTACGTAGATGTAAGTATCATGGACTCAGATGTGTCACCTACGTAGACGTGTCATGTACGCAGATGTGTTATGTCATGTACGCAGATGTAAGTGTCATGTACCCAGATGTAAGTGTCACCTACATAGACGTGTCATGTACGCAGATGTAAGTGTCACCTACGTAGACGTGTCATGTACGCAGATGTGTTATGTACTCAGATGTAAGTGTCACCCACGTAGACGTGTCATGTACGTAGATGTAAGTATCATGTACTCAGATGTGTCACCTACGTAGACGTGTCATGTACGCAGATGTAAGTGTCACCTACGTAGACGTGTCATGTACGCAGATGTAAGTGTCAAATTTCCTGTTTAAAGAGATATGTTTTAAAATCAAACTGCTATAGACTAGCCGGTTTTCCAATAGAACACATCCTTCGGTTAGGAGCGAATATTAACAAAGAATACAAAATTACAAATCCGTACTGGAAAGATGCACTTGATGCCTGGCATAGATATATAAAAGGATATGTAGTTAATGATATTAACATAAAAGAAATTCTTATGCAACCTCTGTGGTTAAATCACCAGTTTCACAATCCATATTTAATAATCAATAATTGGTTCAAACAAGGAATTGTTCATATTAAAGACATTTTCAATGACCAAGAGTTACTCTCATTTGCAGAACTTAAAACAAAATTTGATATTAAGGGCATAACACTTGACCTAAATCGTGTCATCATCAGTATTCCCCCAAAATGGAAAAAAGTCATTCAAACTGCTGGACACCCAAGCAGAACAAAGGTATCGATAAGTTCCCCTTGGAATGATCTTATTAAACCTACTAAATGATCTAGATCATTTTACGATAGTCTCATATCTAAATCCCATTTTCCAAAAGTATGCGATAAATGGGAAAGTGTATTAAACTGTCATATGGATTGGAAGACCATATTTGTGCAATATAGACTAACCATTAAAGACACAAAGCTTTTGGATTTTCAGTACAAATTTATTCATAGAGTTATTTATACAAAACGAGAGTTGTTTAAAATGAAACTAGTTGATAATGACATATGTACATCATGCGGCCTAAGTGAGAATATTTATCATGTATATATTGAATGTCCAACCATTAGATTATTCTGGAAAGAATTCACCAATTTTGTTAATTGTGTCCTGCACAGAACATTCGTACTTTCAGCTCAAGATATACTATTTTGTGCCAATAGCGATCCCTTGCTCAACCATATGATCATACTAGCCAAACGCCACATTTTTGTCATGAATATCAAGAATGTGAAACCAAGTTTCACCACATATAAAGGGTTATTAAAAGATGTATGTGACATTGAGAAATATATTGCTAGAAACTATTTCAATATGAATTTATTTGAGAGAAAATGGATTATACTCCAAAATGTTCTGTGATTATGACAACGAAATAGTTCTACTCAAGTGTGTCTGCGTTTGTTCCAGTTTTACATATCTATTTCCCAGTGAAATGAAACAAAGTGACATGCCATTTCTTATATTATATCATTACAAAACTATGTCCACGGATTGTTTCAAACAAAGTGTATCCAAGGGAAGTGTATAAAAACATGTGAAAAAACCCTTCATATCTAAACAATCGCCTCATCTGCTACAACCAATCACTGAAGCTGACAGTGGGATAAGGTTAAAAAACAGTTTTCTGGAATCAGCAGGAACACAAAAGAGGCGTATTTCGTCCAGTGACCTTTCTTTGTGCTACAGGCCAAGCGACCTGGTCAGGCCACGGAGGAGTTCTCCCACCAGATGCTTGACCGCTACGTCCAATGGGGAGGCAACTTCATCGACACCGCCGACATCTACTCACAGGGACTGTCTGAGAAGTTCATCGGATCCTGGCTCACAAAGTGTGTAGTAATGGATCAGTTGGATTGGCAGTGTAGGGGACATGGTGGACCAGTGAGCACAGCAAACCGAAACATGAGTCTCATTAACCTATTCAGACAATGACCTACTTTACAGCCGATCCGAATTTTCTCGTGTGAAAGTGAAAAGAGACACCACAAACAACTATGATATATATGGTTACACTGAATTCCAGTTCCTTGTTTCATAAGAAAATGGTATTTACAAGTTAATGTTAATTTTAAACTTTAATAAAATCGTATTTCTATATATTTTTCTAGGTTTAGGCAGCATGACCTTAACTAAGAATTCACAGACTGCCCCTGTTTGTTGAGGTCGTAACATGATTCACAATTCATCTGGCTCACTGGTTACACCTGTTATGTGTTCTTTGCGCTTATTCAGTGTAGTTCTGTAACGCACAATGTGATTGATATAATATCAAGTCTGTACCAGACCGCCAAACCTTTCTAGTGGCTGAGCCTCGTTTTGAGATTTCCACGATTTCCAGATTTCCGTCAGAGCTCGCTGTACGACAGAGCAAACTGCACGACGTGTTTGTAAGGATTAGAAGGAGCGTAGTGTTGCAATATACAAGTGCTTAGATGTATCAAATAATACTGATTAATATTTATGTATCCAGTTGAATGAATTGGTCTCAAAATTCTGGACTGGTTATTGTACTATGTTGCGTAATAGGACGAAACCCAGTCAGCAGGAAACGAGACTGTTGTGTAATCAATGTTTTGACTTGTGGTGTATTGTACCTTTAAAGTACCAGGATCTGCTGTTTCCATGTTCAAATATCAGATCACCTGCTTGAATTGATTTGTCAACACGATGCCCGTTGATCACAAACCCAAATTTGTGTTGATGTGAAAATCTGTGAACCCTATACTCCCTGATCCAGTTTGTTTGATAGTGTGAGGAAAACAATGGGAATCTAGACAAAATAGATTCTGGGTCAAATCATCCGAGCATTGGCTCAATTTTGCTGGCATGAGCAATGCCAGATTTGGTAACCTGGGTGAAATTGTGGCACAGCATCCTGTTTTCGTACATGAACTTTCAGGATGATGAAAAATACCTTGGACGATCCAGTTCTCTGTGTGCTACCTTCTTTTCAAAACTCATTGGCACAACGTAATAGCGGTGCTAGCCTGGTGTATTATGTACACATGTGCTGACGAGGATAATTTTGTTTCTGTACCTGAATGTGAAGAAAAGTAGTTTTACCCATCGATTGTTGAAGGATTGAGATGTAAACCTATCTACTTTTCATTACAGACAATCACGTGAGCAATTCGTTGTTGCCACAAAGGTGAGAGTAACCACCCGGATGGTGTTGGACTCAGTCGCCGCCATATTGTCAACAGCATCGAAAGAAGTCTTGAGAGGCTTCAGACTGACTATGTGGATCTGTACCAGGTGAGTACTGACTGTAGTGTGTGGATCTGTACCAGGTGAGTACTGGTTGTAGTGTGTGGATCTGTACCAGGTGAGTACTGACTGTAGTGTGTGGATCTGTACCAGGTGAGTACTGACTGTAGTGTGTGGATCTGTACCAGGTGAGTACTGACTGTAGTGTGTGGATCTGTACCAGGTGAGTACTGACTGTAGTGTGTGGATCTGTACCAGGTGAGTACTGACTGTAGTGTGTGGATCTGTACCAGGTGAGTACTGACTGTAGTGTGTGGATCTGTACCAGGTGAGTACTGACTGTAGTGTGTGGATCTGTACCAGGTGAGAACTGACTGTAGTGTGTGGATCTGTACCAGGTGAGTACTGACTGTAGTGTGTGGATCTGTACCAGGTGAGTACTGACTGTAGTGTGTGGATCTGTACCAGGTGAGTACTGACTGTAGTGGCTGGATCTGTACCAGGTGAGTACTGACTGTAGTGTGTGGATCTGTACCAGGTGAGTACTGACTGTAGTGTGTGGATCTGTACCAGGTGAGTACTGACTGTAGTGTGTGGATCTGTACCAGGTGAGTACTGACTGTAGTGTGTGGATCTGTACCAGGTGAGTACTGACTGTAGTGTGTGGATCTGTACCAGGTGAGAACCGACTGTAGTGTGTGGATCTGTACCAGGTGAGTACTGACTGTAGTGTGTGGATCTGTACCAGGTGAGAACTGACTGTAGTGGCTGGATCTGTACCAGGTGAGTACTGACTGTAGTGTGTGGATCTGTACCAGGTGAGTACTGACTGTAGTGTGTGGATCTGTACCAGGTGAGTACTGACTGTAGTGTGTGGATCTGTACCAGGTGAGTACTGACTGTAGTGTGTGGATCTGTACCAGGTGAGTACTGACTGTGTGTGGATCTGTACCAGGTGAGTACTGACTGTAGTGGCTGGATCTGTACCAGGTGAGTACTGACTGTAGTGTGTGGATCTGTACCAGGTGAGTACTGACTGTAGTGTGTGGATCTGTACCAGGTGAGTACTGTCTGTCGTGTGTAGGTCTGTACCAGGTGAGTACTGACTGTCGTGTGTAGATCTGTACCAGGTGAGTACTGACTGTAGTGTGTGGATCTGTACCAGGTGAGTACTGACTGTAGTGTGTGGATCTGTACCAGGTGAGTACTGACTGTAGTGTGTGGATCTGTACCAGGTGAGTACTGACTGTAGTGTGTGGATCTGTACCAGGTGAGTACTGGTTGTAGTGTATGGATCTGTACCAGGTGAGTACTGACTGTAGTGGCTGGATCTGTACCAGGTGAGTACTGACTGTAGTGTGGATCTGTACCAGGTGAGTACTGGCTGTAGTGTGTGGATCTGTACCAGGTGAGTACTGACTGTAGTGTGTGGATCTGTACCAGGTGAGTACTGGCTGTAGTGTGTGGATCTGTACCAGGTGAGTACTGACTGTAGTGTGTGGATCTGTACCAGGTGAGTACTGACTGTAGTGGCTGGATCTGTACCAGGTGAGTACTGACTGTAGTGTGTGGATCTGTACCAGGTGAGTACTGACTGTAGTGTGTGGATCTGTACCAGGTGAGTACTGACGGTAGTGTGTGGATCTGTACCAGGTGAGTACTGACTGTAGTGTGTGGATCTGTACCAGGTGAGTACTGACTGTAGTTTGTGGTGTGTGGATCTATCCCTACCAGGTGAGTCCTGTAGTGTGTGACTGTGACTGTAGTGTGTGGATCTGTACCAGGTGAGTACTGACTGTAGTGTGTGGATCTGTACCAGGTGAGTACTGACGGTAGTGTGTGGATCTGTACCAGGTGAGTACTGACGGTGTGTAGATCTGTACGAAGAAACTACTGGTTGTTGTGGGTGGATGACAACTGAGATGCTTGTGAGGGTATACAGTGGGTATAAGGTGTTGTCAATGATACAGAATCAACTCACGTTAATGGATTTTCAACAAAACCTCAACCCATACTTGCATGTGATAACATCATTCCATCCCTGACAGGCTGTAAACTTCGCTGAAGCTGTGGCACATCTTGCTATTCTAGTTGCACATTTGGGATGATGGCACTCCAATTGAAGAAACACTCCGCACATTTGATGACCTGGTTCGATGTGGGAAGGTGCGCTACGTCGGTGCCAGCAACGTGACGGGTTGGCAGCTACAGAAGATAGTCTGTACATCGGAGAAGCTTGGTCTGAACCCCTTTGTCAGCTTACAGGTAGGACATTGTAACATGACAGTTGGACGAAGTACTGTGACTATGTGCCCAGTCCACCCAGCTGTGAATGGGTACCTCGTAAGGATGGGAAAGCCACATTAACTGGGTGCACCTTGTAGCTGCACGAGTTGTATGGTCCCCAGGGAGTTCAGATTTCAGATTGAAAATACGATGTGCCGCTGAGACTGACATCCAATGATCGAGGGAAAACAAAGCGCTGTGAGCTTGCATGTAGGTGGGGTGGACTATAACGCTATAAAAACCACACACACACACAGATATATATATATATATATATAGACAATGTCGACCTTTGGGCGACATTTGTGCGACCTTTAGGCGACAGCTGTCGCCCTAAGGATATATTTCTGTCGCCTAAATATCTGCATGTCACAACTATGTTCATTTTCTTTAATAGCTAGCCCAAAGTGGATGGTTGGATAGAGGGTCGTCTCAGGACCTTCGGGTGTGCTTCGTTTGTATTTTTATAAAAATTCAGTGCTGTTATTGAAAAAACAAAAATATCATGTATATAACGTCTGCGACCTTTCGGCGACACGGGGTTTTCTATAAAATTCTCTAACACCTGGATATATGTTCAGTAATAAACAATGGAGAAATTATTGTCTAGATATATGCTATTAGGTTTTGTACAGTTTTTTCAAATATACACATCGTTAAGTGTTCGCCATAACATCACTGTTTCGCTCGCAGTACCTTTCGGCGATTTGCCTTCATGCTCCTGTGCGTCAAAAACGTGAAAGTTCAAAAGCGGCAACGTCGAAATGAACACTTATCTAATAATTCAATAATGTCTGTAGATATTGTGGGACCTGACAGACAAGACCAATATGCCACCAAGAACACGTTTAAATACTTAAAACATTTGATTCTTCAATCAAAATAACAATGTAATAATCTGTAAATAAATTGAATTCATGTTTCACACGAAGGCCCGTTCACGTTTTGTGTCAAATCGGATCCCGTTTGCTACAGTTTTCGCGCACTACACGAGGTGACTTGGCAGCACAAAGCTATGGAAAATGCAGGGTATGTATCGTAATCGGAGTATTTTGTTGAAAACAGCAGCATGTACAATTGTATCAAAGGCGATGCCTGTCCCATGACACAATCTATTTCAAGATTTCGCAACTGGAAGAAACTGTTTGCTAGTAACTTGATCGCGATTGTGAGGTCTCGTATCTCATGTTGTTTCTTGATCCTCACCTAGACTATCGCTTAGTCTCTGAATATAATTTTTTTTTTATATCAACAAACAAACGCATTATAAATTGAAAAGGAGACCCGGGGAAACCAGAACCTGAGGAAATCTAGACTTGCTTCATTTAGGGCTTTAGCATTGCAGAAAGGGCAAGACAGTAGGGAAAATAATATTGTGGTTCAGGGGACTATGACACAGACTACAGCTAGAGTACAGTGGTTGGCCATAAGTGAGTCATCATTAGTGAAATTTCCATAGACTTACCTGTTAATTAACTGTTTCAAGAATAATTTTAATAAATTGAGTAGAAGTTTGCAAACATCTTGGAAATCATCTTCAGCTACATGTACATAATTTTCTTTCATCTTTCCGTTGATTAGTTATCGAATGACGCCTGATTAAGCACCATAAATACAACTTAATTTTAATCTATCCCATAGACATGTTAAACCTGATTGGTATGTCTAATATATGTTGTTTAAATAGTTGCAGTTTTCTTAATAATCATCGGAAAATTGAAAGGAAATTATGTGTACGTAGCTGAGATGATTTCCCAGCTGGTAGATATAAGTACTGAAAGCAATTCCACCGAAACTAAATTTATAAAATTATTCTTGCAAGAGTTAATTAACATGAAAGTCTATGGGAATTTCACTATTGATGACTCACTTATGGCCAACTACTGTAGATCCACACCCGAAAGAGCTAATCACAGCTGTATGATTTTATGTTCACTCAGTGGGTGAAATTGACCTTTACTTTTAGGCCAGATAAATAAAAACCCCAAAACAGTCAATAACCATTCTTGTACCTTAGACGAATTCAGTAAAATTTCAAAGGTGCAACGGCAAAGAAACCTTTCCAAAACATCTCTCATTCTGAAATCAGAGTTCAAACTTTTGATATTCAGACTGGGGAAAAACGGGACTGGGCTGCGCTCATAGCACTGATATATTGTTTTTCTTATTTTAGATATATATCTACCGACTTTTATAATAGATAACTATTTTCCTTATCCTGACTCATGCTCTTTTGCTTGTCTTCTTCTTCTTGCGAACATAGTGGAACACTTGTATCTCCCTAATTGAAGCTCCCTTCAATTTAAAATCACTAATTAGTATTCACCACGAAGTTACCTCCTTTCCACAAGCGCGGGAACGAGGGGCCACCTCTACCCATGTGCCTCACTCTTCCTTCTTCGCCCAGTGAGCTGGACGTGAGAGCGCCTGTGTCTCCCGACACACTATATCCTTTGAAATATATTTAGTTAGTTACCTCGT